CCAAGTCCATCTTACAGTAATTCCCAGGCAATAGAGTTTGAAGAATTAGCTAAACCCATCCACACCTGATGCTGTAGAACTGGTTCCAGAGGGAGAGTCCTTTCCAAGTAACACAGTGGAATGTTCACTGGCTGGGGAACAGCTATTCTTATTCCCACTGTTGCCTAGGACATGTTGCTAGAAAATAAGGACAGAAGAAAAGACAGTTTAATCTTAACATCTCAAGCATCATATTACAAAAGAACCTGGCAGATCTAAAAGTTCACATGTTCAAACAGAATAAAATTTACATATATAACTAGAAGTAAAAAATTATCAGCCTGTCCCCAGGAATGTTCTCCAGCTTCCTATGTATGTATCAGTCAAGGTACTACTGTTTTCTGAGCCCCTACACATGCCAGGTACCATACAGCTGTGGGCTTTTTTTTTTCCCCTTTGGTCATTCATTCTACAAATATATATTAAATATTTTCTATGTTCTAAAGACCAAGGATACAACACTGAACAAAACAAAGTTCTAAAAATCTTGGAATTTATGTTGCAGTGAAAAGAGGTACAATATATATATTCCTTCATTTAATCCCATTTATTAAGCCATGAACCATTTATCTTTGTGTTTTTCAAATAAGGAAACAAAGGCAAAGAATGGTTAAATAACTTGTCTAAACCGCACACCCCTAACAAGTGAAGAGGTGGGATTTGAACCCAACATTTTAATCCACAGCCTGTGATATCTCCCTTCAATCACTGCTTTGCATTTGGTTTTTATCAAGGGTACTAATAACAGGCTTTCAAAACTGAGCTCTGGTGGCTCAGTTGTTAAAGCATTTTGCTTCTAATCAAGAGGTTGGCAGTTCAAACCCACCAGCTGCTTCTTGGAAAAAAGATGAGGCAGTCTGCTTCCGTAATGATTTATAGCCTTGGAAACCCTATGGGACAGTTCTACCTTGTCCTAAAGGGTTGCTGAGTCAGAATCAACTCGATGGCAGTGGGTTCTTAGTTTCAAAAGTGAGCATATTTTCCTGATCTAGATGATCAGATTTTGAACATCTGCTAAAGAGGGGTATTATATCTAGAGGGAAAGACCAAAGAAAAGCTCTATGTAATATGCACTCCTCTTGGACCCTACAATTCATTATAAGACTTTCAATTCCAAAGTTTAAAGTCAAATTATTTTGACTTTAAATCTGAGAATGTCTTTTTAAGTAAAGGGATGAAAAGAAAGAAACGGATCAAAAAGTTTTCATTTCTGGCAATTACACAGATACTATGAAACTATAAACTACCTGCTTTTCTGAGAAGTAATGCTGAAAGTGGATCCTGCCTCCTAGGCACATATGTATCACCCTGGGGTGGGACACTAAGCCTCAGTGCTACGATTGAAAAAAGTAAAATCTCTAACTTCCTGTCTAATCAGCATGGCTTCTTCCCATCCTACCAGGCCATAACCCCAGATGTACATAAGCAAATACATGTTAAAGGTGATAACCATATTGATATCTGGACATTAAATGTTAAAGGAAAAGAAGCCCAGATTACATAGAAAACTTGAAAGACAGGACTTTTGGAAAAATCTCACAAAGTACATTATGGATTGAACTGTATCCCCCCCCAAAAAAAACATGTGTTAAAACCCTAACTCCTATACCTGTGGATACGGGAGCTCTGGTGGCATAGTGCCTAGCACTTGACTGCTAACCAGAAGGCTGGCGGTTCAAACCCACCAGCCTCTCCTCGGAAGGAAGGTTGGGCAATCTACTTCCATAGTGATACTGCCTCAGAAATCAAGGAGAGGTCGCTATGAATCGGGTCCGGCTTGATGGCACATAACAACAACAACAACATAACTGTGGATGTAATCCTGCCTGAAAATAATTATCTTTGTTATGGTAATGAGGATGTATCAGTGCAGAGTGGGTCCTAAACCTAATTACTTCTTAGTTATAAACTAAGCAGATCAAAAATCTTCTGACAATGGCAGAATAGCCAGACAAACTACACAGACCCTCTTCAACAAAGAAAAGAGGGACCAATTAACACAGATACAGAAGATAATCCTGGAGCCCTGAACTTTAAAAAGAAGGATACAGAAGTGGACTAAACTCCAATTAGTAGGAGAACTTGTACAGATACACCAAAAAAGGAGACATACAGAGCTGTGGTCTGTCAGTGATCCTGATGGCACAGAAAGCTTTGATATTGCCAATCAAACAAAACCAAACTCACTGTCATTGAATCAAATCTGACTCACGGTGATCCCTCCTTGGGTTTCCAAGGTGGTATCACTATGGAAGTAGATTGACCAACCTTCTTTCCGAGGAGAGGCTGCTGGGTTTGAACCACCAGCCTTCTGGTTAGCAGTCAAGTGCCTTAGGCACTACACCACCAGAGCTCCTGCCAAGTGGGGTTAGAACCTAAGAATTAACTTATAATTGGCCCTGCTAGCCAGGGGCTGCATGGAGGACTGCATTGGTGGCTGGTGAATAAAAGGGGAAGCAGTGAAGAGGGAGATGGACTGAGCTGTGGAATTTTGGCTGTCAGTAGGGGCACAGCCATTTTGAATGTTTACAAGTAGTTTGACCATTGGGATATTTAAAGTGAGAACATTCTCTCCGATTCCAGGGACCTAAGAATAGGCTCCACTTGCTGGGGACCACAAGGACATTCTGGACACAAATGACTGGAAAGTTAACAGAGCTCTAAATACAACAGCATCACAATATCTCAGAGACAACAGACCACCACACTCCACACAAACAAATAAGATAAAGTGGTAGAAACAAGGGAACAGGATACAGACCCAGAACACATTCCTGAGGAAGCAGCAGCACTGGAACTCCCTGATAAGGAATTCAAAAGAATTATACTTAGGTATCTTCAAAGGATTGAGAGACAGATCTAGGAAAACACTGACAAAATTAAGGAAAACACAGACAAAAACCTAGAACGATTTCAGAGGAAAATATAAGAACAAAATGACAAAATAAATGAAAAATTAGAAATGATACAAAATTTACAGATAGATATCCAGAAGATTAATACTAAATTTTTAGAAACTGATAGCACACTGAAAGGGCAAAGGAGTAGAATCGAATCAATGGAAGACAGAATTAATGAGATGGAAGACAAATACCTGAATACTTCTTTGGGAAGGGATCAATCAGAAAAAGATCAAAACAAAATGAAGAAAGCCTAAGGTTCATATGGGAATTCTAGAACAGGAAGAGAAAAAGCAAACCACTGAGAAAACAGTCTGAGATTTGTTGGAAGAGAACTTCCCTGATAAGATGAAAGATGAGAATATATCCATTCAGGAAGTCCAATGAACCCCAAACAGGATAGACCCCAAAAGAAAATCACCAAGACATATATA